TTTTGAAAGACAACTGTCGAAAATTTTGACAAAAAAGTCGGTCCGTTTAAAACGGTCCATAGTCGTGGTGTAAATGTANGTGTCGTCTGTGTTGTCTCGAAGTGAGCGCTACAACTCACGGACGGCGTCATTTTTTTTGACACAAGTTGCACAAGTCTACGTCACACGTTTAAAATGACTGCACACAGGTTCCAAGTTTTTGAAAGACAACTGTCGAAAATTTTGACAAAAAAGTCGGTCCGTTTAAAACGGTCCATAGTCGTGGTGTAAATGTATAAGTAAGGACGTGAATGTCCGGAAGGCGTGATAGCCGGGTGGCGTGATAGCCAGGATTGGCGTGGAAGCCGTGGCGTGATAGCCGTGGTAGCGTGATAGCCGGGGGGAAAGGACTTGATCGCACACAGGAAGGAGGAAAAAGAGGAAACAAAAACAAGTGAGAAACCACAACGAACGCACAATCACCATATCCGGTGTAGACACACACATACCCCCACCCTCAATCCTGTAATACACGGCAAAGTTGGTACCATCAAATCGAATCCAAAGCAACGGCTGAACCCCCAAACTCCCCGCTCCATCTGCTCGGAAAGTTCTTGCTTGCAATAATCTTTCGATGCTGTGAGTACGTCTGACAGCCCGCCTACTCGCTGCATTGACAAGACCACACCCGGACTTTAATATACTATCCTTATTGTCATCCCATACATACCACATACATACCTGACCGAAATGAAATTTAGTGCAAGACATTCCCTTTATCCCTAACTGCATTCTTGTCACAACACCAAAACCCTTAAACCAGAAACATTCGTTAGAATTTCATCGGTTTGCATTATTGCCAACCATTAAACCAGAAATACTTGCGACAATTTCCACCTGTCAATCTTGAACTCGATTCCTCAGAAAATCAAACAAATCAATACAAAAACCAAAAATCGAAAAAAACAAAAGACACAAGACCCAAAAACGAAAAAAATCTCCCGGACTATTCACTCGAAGTTCATCACGTAGTCCCGGTGGGAAGCAAACTCTCTCTCAGGTAGCGCCTTCGTGAGGAAGTCGGCATGCTGATACTTCGACGCTACGTGGATGATCTCTACCTCCTTCTCATCTACGAGCTGCCTGAGGAAGTGATGCCGCACGTCGATGTGCTTCGAGTTGGAATTCGAGATCGGGTGTTTCGCGATCGGGATAGATCGCCCCTTCGTTATCTTCATACAGTGGACTGCACGGCCGCAACTCCTTAGGCAACATGAAACCCCAAACCTGCCTCAAAAACAAAATCATCTCCTTCCCCACGTCCGCCATCGTCACGTATTATGCCTGCGTGGTAGACAAAGTCACATACTTTTGAGTCTTGGAGAACCATGCAATCGCCCCTCCTGCGCACATCACTACCCCTCCCGAAACCGACCTACGGTGTGCCGCACGGGAAGCACGCGTAGTCCGCGTCGACAAACGCAATCAAAGAAGATCCCGAAACCGTCCCCCTCTGAAAAGAAATCCCCAAAGAACTAGCCCTAACTGCATATATATCCTAAAATGCTAAGTGCAGCCTTCTAGTGGATCAACTTCGGTGCACTACAGTACCTCGCCACTGCTCTCACCGAATTCGCGATATCCGGCCTAGTCAACAAGGCAATCCACAACAGCGAACCGACCAGCGCGCGAAAAGGGTACTCTACGCTCGGCTTGTCCAAGTCGAAGTCCCAAANTGGGCAAAGGGATGCCCCCCCCCCACTCGACACCATATCTCTCTCCCAGCTCTTCGGTGTATGTCTGCTGTGAAATCGTCAGCCTGCCTGCCTCTCTGTCCCTCTCGTAATAGCAACCAGAGTTACTAGTACCACTTCAACTCCCCGAGAGACTGTACTGGCACGTACTCTCCCAGGTCCTTGCCGAATCGATCACACCTCTCCTTCGTCCCCACTGCAAAAATATCGTCTACGTGTACTACGAGAAGCAACACTACTTCCCCCCCTTCGACTAAATGAAAAACACACGAATCAGCCATGCACTGCTCGAACCCCAAAGCCAAAAGGCACTTCTTCAATAACGTGTACCACTCTCTAGATGCCTGCCTCAAGCCGTAAAGGCTCTTGTTCAACTACACTATCTTCCCCGACAACGCACCACATCCTTCCGGTAGTCGCATGAAGATATCTTCCTTGAGAGGGACCCTCACAAAAGCCTGGTCGATGTCGAAGTGACACAACTCCAAGTCAAGCTCACACGCCAAAGCTGCCAACATACGAACACTAGATGAAGCTACGGTAGGTGCATACAAATCACCAAAGTCAATGTACTCCTTCTGCATGTCTCCTCTCGCAACAAGTCTAGCCTTGGCCTTCGTAGGAAAGCCGAACGCATCTACCTTCCAATCAAAAATCAACTTCGACTTGATGCAATTGTCTATTCGCTGCTACGGTCCAACAATCTTAAATGCGTCTGCTTCTAGCAATCCAAAAACCTCACGCTTGGCCGCATCCATGAACTGCTCGCTGTGCTCGCTCTGCCTTGCCTCTTTGAAAGTCTGGGGTACTCGGAGGTCCTTGGCGTGGCAGCGCGGCATGTCGGGTCGCAAAAGAGGCGGCTCCATCTCGCGCACAGCTGAGTCGAGGTCGTCGCGCGTCGCAAGACGCGCCACAAGTCCGAGCGGAACGCCCCGCTCAGACGGACCGATCGACCAACCATTCCCCATGCGTCCCTCCTCGCCGGTGTCCACCTCCGGCAGCTTTCCCGTGCTCTCTCCCACGCCCTCACTCCTCGCGAGCTGCTCGCCTCCGCCCCCCTTCTCGCCGCCCCCCTCCAATCCTGGCCGGAGCATTGTCTTGCCGTTCATGACTCGCCGAGCATCCAGCATGGAGAGGAGGACGTCTTCGTTAGCTTGAGCCAGCAGCCCCATGGTGATCTCGGTCGGAGGGAGAGGCGTGGTGACGGCATCGTCCTGCAGTGATGGCAACTGCCGGTCCACCGATAGGGCAGAAAGCTGTTGCTGGGCGATGGTGCGCGCTTCCGCTCTCGTGCGTCCTCGGATCCGCGGATCTCCCCCCTCGCCGAGCAGTCTCGAAGCATGGGGCGTGAGAGGTGCGTACCCCGGTGCCGTCGCCGATTGTGTGGTCTGCCGGTCTCGGTGCGGTTGCGGTGGGGACTGCTCAGCCTCAATGGATGAGGACGACCAGTCCGGGAGCGGGGGCGACGGCGACAGCGGCGCAGACCCCGGAGGCGGCGGCGACGGCGACGGTCCGGCGGC